AAAAAAAGAAAAAAAAGGTAAACTACATGGTCACCCACCTAAAAGAAACAACAAAAAACGCACATTATTTCCCAAAATGAGGGTAAACTACAAGGTCATTTTATAATTTCTATTATATTTATTCGTGATATAGTGCCTACATAGAAAACAAATATAAGGAAAACAATTCTTAGGCGGCAAAAGAAAATTTTAAATTACAGATCCTACAAGGCTAAAACTCATGGCAATGGCATGGCCTTATTTAGTCTGAACATGTTATTATAGAATAAAATAATATTTAAAAAACATACCTGGGCTTTTTCAGTGCACCAATATTTAACAAGTTTCCTAAATTGTCTTTTGTCAACCCGATGATCAGGAACCTTCCTAGTCATCCGTCTCATACTCGTAGAACCATCATAGCCCTTCATTTTCAATTGAGCTATCCACTTCTTCTTCAATTGACCTTTCCACTGTCTCCATTTCTCAGACATGTTTTGGAGAAGCCCTTTCTTTAGTGTTTCTGTAGGTTGCGGTATAAATTGAAACTTCGAATGTAATAAGCAAATTGTTAATTTATTACCAGAGAATAAATACTCTAAAATATCATTGAACAGTTCATAGAAACTATCAAAGATACAAAATAGAACAAACAAAAACACCTCAGGACGAAAAAAAAAAAAGGTTCTTGAAGAATAAGAAATGATGGTTTTTTTTAAATGAAAACAAAATCATATTTTTAATTTAAATAATTTTTAAAAATAATTTAAATAATTTAAAGTATTAGGATTGTTATAGTTTAGTGCTTGCTTTTGCTATAATTCTTGATTCTCGCTTCAAATTGGATTATGTCAAATATTGTTACATGAAATTGGATGAGATAACATACTTAGCAAAATATGATAATGTCAAATATTGTTTGGAGAGTATTTGCAATGAATATTCACACAACGAGGACAAAACTTTTGAAGCTACAAGAATTGCCTCTTATAGTGCTATCAATTTCAAGAATAGTTTAGTCCGTGATGAGATGAGGATATAAATCTATTTTATCTTTTATTTATTTTTTTACCATAGGAGTGAGGAAGGGCATATGTGCCAAAATTATCAATACCGTATTGACATATGTACAAATTTTGCTACTGGAATGAAACGTACTAGATACCAAAATTTTTCGCATACCATTTTGGATTTATCGTTATAAATATATGTTTTTATAAATTAAATATCAAATTTGAAAATAATGATAAGAGAAACTAATAGTTAAAATCATTATATTCTTATAAATTGAAAATAAATTTAAAATGATCAATTTTATAAAACATGCATAATTTTTTTTCTTTTTTTCTTTTTTGAATATTAAATGTGCATATTTAGACAAACTTAATAGAGTAATTGATAAAATGGCTAAAAAATGTGTTTTTCATAGTTAATGGATTAAGAAAATATATAAAAAAGTTAAATGATGAAAATTATGCAAAACATTAAAGTTAACGATCAAAAATGAAATTTATCCTTTTTAAATTTGAATTGATATGTACCAGCACATTTTTTATGTATCGGCTAGTATGCCAAAATGGACGAAATTTGATTGAAGCAAAATTGGACCGTGCACCATTTCGGACTAATAAAAAAACCGAAACAGTATTAATAACTCTAGGTTTAAGTACCATTTTGGTCCCTCAACTTTTCACTTTGCCACCAAAATTGTCTCTTGCCTTTAAAAAATACCAAAATTATCCTAAAACTTTCATTTTTGGTACCAAAATGGTCCTTCCGTCAGTTAAATGATAGGTGGCACATTAAAATGCCAGCAAATCAATTCTTTTTTTTTCTTAATCAATGACATGGAAAAAAAAAGTATAGTTGGCCATTTTTTTTATGAGTTGGCATTTTTATTTAATTTAAAAGTAATAATTCTTTTTTTTTTCACCCACGTCAGATTTCTTCTTCCTCTTCTTCCTTTCTCCTTCTTCTGCCTTTCTTAAACCCAGATTTGGGTTTTTCTCAAACCCAGGAAAAAAAATAATGCATTACTTTCGCTCATTCTTCTTCTTATTCTCTCTCTTTCTTCTCCATTCTTCTTCCTTTCTCAAACTCAAATTTGGGTTTTTCTCTCAAAACTCAGATCTGGGTTTTTCTCTCAAACCCAGATCTGGGTTTTTCTCAAACCCAGATCTGAGTTTCATCACATAAATTAACAATCTAATGAAGCTGATGATAATAAAAAAAGCAATACAAATCATTCCATTATATTAAACAAGGCACATCTACGGAAAAGTTGCCATATCATCTCTTCTTCCTCTTTCACTTTCTCTCTCTTGTTCCTTCTTCTTCCTCTCCAAATCAAACCCAAATCTGGGTTTTTCTCAAACCTAAATAACTCCTCCGACACCACTGAAACACAGCAAAAGAGAAACTAAATCACAATCCAACAAAAAAACCTCGAATACACGCATTCGAATTTCACCAAATCAAGACAAATCACGTGGATGCGAATAAATCAAAAAGAAACAGTACCGAACCACCGCAGACTCGATCTGTAGCAAACCATAACCCAAA